TCTGTATTGTCAAGATGACGTGACGGGGAAACGTCCTCAGAGGTATGAGTTTCCGTTGCTAGTTCACAACTCTCTCCGCGTCTGTTTTCAGTTAGGACATTTCATATCCTACCTTTCTTATATCAGTGAATGCACACCAGAAATTCTTTAAGAACGTAAGAGAAGCCAATGCTGGATCAGGCCAATGGCCCATCCAGTCCAACGCTCTGTGTCACACAGTGGCCAAAACCCAGGTGCCATCAGGAGGTCCACCAGCAGGGCCAGAACTCCAGAAACCCCCCAAGAACCAAGAACACAGAGCATCACTGCCCCAGACATAAGAACACAAGAGAAGCCATGCTGGATCAGGCCAATGGCCCATCCAGTCCAACGCTCTGTGTCACACAGTGGCCAAAACCCAGGTGCCATCAGGAGGTCCACCAGCAGGGCCAGAACTCCAGAAACCCCCCAAGAACCAAGAACACAGAGCATCACTGCCCCAGACATAAGAACACAAGAGAAGCCATGCTGGATCAGGCCAATGGCCCATCCAGTCCAACGCTCTGTGTCACACAGTGGCCAAAACCCAGGTGCCATCAGGAGGTCCACCAGCAGGGCCAGAACTCCAGAAACCCCCCAAGAACCAAGAACACAGAGCATCACTGCCCCAGACATAAGAACACAAGAGAAGCCATGTTGGGTCAGGCCAATGGACCATCCTGTCCAACGCTCTGTGTCACACTGTGACCAAAATCCAGGTATCATCCAGAGGTCCACCAGCGGGACCAGAACTCCAGAAGCCCCCCAAGCATGGAGGCCCCAAAACAAAGCGCGTTGGCAACAGCTGTCTCTGGAAGATTAATCCCCGTCAACTTTGGACAGTTTCCTAGTGTTTCCACTCCTATATCTGGCAACTGGAAGGGGAGGGATGCGGTGGGGAAGGGAAGGGGGGGAATGATATCGTACCAATGGCAGGACATCACTTTCAGCATTAGTGATAAGGAAAGAGATAAGGGGGTAAGTTTTACTATAGAGTTTGGCAGCAGGATACTAAAGCGGCACGCCGATGCAGTGATGTCACTTCCGGGTATACACAGGAAGTGATGTCACACCTCCAGTAGAACAGCTCTTCCCCCATTCCCCCTTCTGCTGAGAGGCAGCGGGGACAGGGGGTGGAGGGCAAGAAGTCTCCCACCACACAGGGAGACATGGTAAGTCCAGGCATCCTAGCTCTGAATCCAGGAGCTGCCATTCAGCTGTGATGGCTTATAGCCGATAGTAGACCTCCATAAATATGTCCAACTCCCCTTTTATATACACCTAAGCTGACGTCCACCTTGGCCTGGGTGTCCCAGGCTAGCCTGATCTCATCAGATCTCGGAAGCTAAGCAGGGTTGGTCCTGGTTAGTATTTGGGTGGGAGACCACCAAGGAAGTCCAGGGTTGCTGCGCAGAGGGAGGCAATGGCAAACCACCTCTGTATGTCTGCCCTGACCAGGATGTCCCAGGCTAGCCTAATCTCATCAGATATTGGAAGCTAAGCAGGGTCAGGCCTGGTTAGTACTTGGATGGGAGACCACCGAGGAAGTCCAGGGTCCCTATGCAGAGGCAGGCCACGGGCAAACTGCCTCTGAATATCTCTCGCCTTGACCGGAATGACCCACGCTAGCCTGTACTTCTGTCAGATCTCAGAAGTGAAGCAGGGTCAGGCCTGGTGAGTACGTGGATGGGAGGCCACCAAGGAAGTACAGGGTTGCTACGCAGAGGCAGGCTGTGGCAAGCCACCCCTGCGCGTCTGCCCTGACCTGGCTGGCCCAGGCTTGTCCAATTTCATCCGATCTCGGAAGCTAAGCAGGGTCAGCCCTGGCTAGTACTTGAATGGGAGACCACCAAGGAAGTCCAGGGTTGCTATGCAGAGGCAGGCCATGGCCAACCACCCCCATTCATCTCTTGCTTTGCCTGGATAACCCAAGCTAGCCTGATCTTATTAGATCTCAGAAGCTAAGCATGGCTGGTCCTGGCCAGTATTTGGATGGGAGACCACCAAGGAAGTCCAGGGTTGCTACGCAGAGGCAGGCCATGGCAAACCACCTCTGAGCGTCTCTTGCCTTGGAAACCCTACAGGGTCGCCATAAGTCACCTGCATCTTGACAGCACTTTCCACCACCACCACGTCTTGTAGCAGTGAGTTCCACAAGCCAACCACCCCCGTGAGTGAAGTAGTGCTTCCTTTTTGTTAGCTTGAGCAAGAGCCTTTTTCAACACACTGTCAATGCTAGAGCCACCAAGTTCAGCCCCATCCGAGAACCTCTGGAAGCCCCACGTCTTAGTGAGGAAGGAACATACCTCATCTCTAACGCACATTAGTGGAGCCACCTCCACAACGGTGGAGTCCTGCTCTGTACAGCCAGATTTCACGTTCTCTCGGAGCGCATTTTCATCTGCCAGTAACAGATTGTCGTACAAACACATTCGAAGTGCCAAACACCACCTCGGCATTGGCATTCCGAACTGCAATTTCAGAACAAATGAACACAGGAGAGTGTTAGCGGAGCCTTCGGCAACGTATTTAATTCACTTCCGCCCCCGCTTTTCATCCTAATGGGGACCCAAAGCTGCTTGCATCTTCCTCCTCCCCTCCATTTTATCCTCACAACAACCCTGTGAGGTAGGTTAGGCCCAAGATCACTCATGGCATGAGTGGGGATTCGAACCCGGGCCTCCCCGATCCTAGTCCAACAGTTTTAACCACCCGACTGCACAATGAGAGTGGCAATTTGGGGATTCAGCAGTAGATTCTGAGATGGGAACAGGGGAGTTACGAACACATCTTTATGTTTTCTCAGTGAAACGGTGAAAGATGCACTGCTGGACAGATGGACTGGCTTGTAAACAGCTTGGGAGAGACGTAGGTCGTGAGCACACGGGCAGTTTGGCCCAACACAGCCGCTCCTCCCCTCGGGATCAAATGGGCACACTCAGACAGCCACATACTTATCCCGTCACAGGACAACTTGGAGCCGGGTTAAAAAGGCACCACAGCACAAGTGGAGTTTTGGTTCCCTGCGCAGTCATTAGGCATGGCCGAATGTCTGAACGCGGAGAGTGCGCACAGAACGGATTTGGCAGTCTGAACCTGCACCTCTGTTCTGTTGCTGGGGAGACGTTTTTTTTTTTAAAAAAATTACCTATATGCGCATGCGTGCGCGTGTACACATATATGCGCGCGCATGAATTTTTCTAAAAATTGGCAGCATGCTCCATGGTTGAGGCACTGCAATAATGTGGATGCTTTACCACGGGACGTGCTGTGTGGCTGATATGCCCCGCAACACTTTCAACTGGTTCCATTAGAGGTGGCACCATATTGCGCCAAGCCGCCACTCTGACCACAGCCTTACAGTTGCCGGGTCTCCCCTGGCCACTGGCGGGGGATAGCAAGGTAGGGTGCCCAGATCTAGGTTGGGAAACTTCTGGAAATTTGAATACAGAGTCTGGGGAGGACAGGGACTTCAGTGGGGTGTAGCGTCCACCCTCCAAAGCGTCTATTCTCTCCAGGGGAACCGATCTCTGTAGTCTGGAGATGAGCTGTAAATCGGGGGGATCCCCAGGTCCCGCCTGGAAGCTGGCATCTCTAGAAAGACAAAGTATGGAAGGACCTGATGGTAAATCTTCGCCTTACCCAGTCTCTTTAGGCTTCCCACACAAAGCAAAGTTTATTCTTTGGGGGCAAAAGAAAAGTGCAGAGGCCACCCAGACAGATTCGCATCGGCCGTCAGGGTGCGTTGCGCAAAGGGGTGGCTCGTGTCAGACACCCCACCCCGCAGGCGGGATGCACTCGGCGAAAACAAGGCCCCCTTGTTCCTG